ACCCTGTAGAGGGCTTCCGAGGAGTGGCTAGTGATTGGGGTCGAATGCTAATCCTACAGTGCCAGAACTAGAGGAACTCAGATTAGGGTCCTTTAAATGCTCTTTGAATTTAGGGAACAGAGGAGTTTCCCAAAGAAACCCTCCCTAGGACGGCTCACATTCTCCACGGTGCTGTGCTGGGATGGATACAATTCTTGCTCAAACTTCCCTGGCTTTTTTCTCATCAGTGCATTTTCAAATTTCCTTAAATCTTCTTCCTAATTAAGCCCCTGTGATCGTCCTTAAGAAAACCTATCAAGATGACCTTTGGAATCACAAAAAATACAAAAACAAGTCCCCATAGCCTTTTGAGGTAACCTCTCTGCTTTGAATGCAACTGGCCTAGCAGATTCTCTCAGAAACCAGTTTTGATCAGACCTTTTTTGAATGTACCCTAAAAAGACTAAAACAAATGTGTGTGTACCTGAGAGAACTTGTCTGATCACAGAGAAGTGGCTAAACAGGTCATGTATGAAATGAACACCTAGGAACAATACTTTCTGACGTACACTCACTAGTCAGGTACATAAATAAAACACGGGAAGAACATGTACATATAGACCCATGTATGCATGTGCACATATTCATAGAGGCCACAGTGACAGATATCCCTAAGAGAGCACCAGATCCTTGGTGAGTTTGAAGGGTTATTAGGAGGACCTCAGTCAAGTGGCATATCACAGCGAGCTCACAGATGCGTGTTCTGCACACCAGTGAGGTGAGGAGGGTCTGGGATCGTAAAGCTTACAAACAGCTATCTAAGATATAACTACAGGTCTCTCCTTGTCTGGAGCAAAGTGAAAGAAGGGAACCAAAGTCTCAGACAAGAATCAGTCTCCTCTACCATGAGACCAGAAGAACTCAATGGTGCCTGACCCTTCTGGTCAGTCAGGGACACAATAGATGGAACCCTGAGAAAATGGGAGGAAACCACAGAGCAGGACGACTTAAAGTCTTCAAAAAATCAGCCCAGGTTCACTGGACCAGCTGGAACCAGACGACTCCCAGAGACTGTATCCTTAGAGACTCTTTAAACTGCAAACCCAAACTACTTCCTGAGGCCCATTAACAGGCTGACCCAATGGAGCTCTCTCCACACTGTACCTGAAGCTAGGCCTCTGGAGTCCCTTTTATGGTTAGCCATCTTGGGCTGGATATGGTACTCCCTACCTGGAGACCTGTCTGAAGCCCCTTACACGGCAAGTAAGACAGGGTCACACCAGATCCACCTGGGCTACGACGCCTGTCTGCACAAAGAAACAATGACTTCAAACCACAAACCAAGTCTCAGAGACAGTGCTCCTGACGCCAGGCCTCTGTGCCCCAGCGCTGAAGAGCTCCAAGCAAACAACCAAGCAGAAAGAACCCAGAAACCCACCACCTGAACTAGCAGCAACTAAGCCTCAGAAACGTCCGCCTGTGTTTATAACCAAGTACCAGCCCCCGGTGCTTTGGTAAACAAGAAGGTTCAGGCACAGGCGTGCTCAGACCCCCGGCAACATGAGTTCCAGATGCTCGGGGCTCACCTGCTGCCAAGTGAACCTCCGGCAAACCACATTGTGTTTACTATGGAGAAAGAGCTTCCGAACCAGTTCCCAGTGCCTTCACAGCTCCCTGGTTCTTCACATGAAGTTGCCTCCCTGCAGTCCCTGCCAACGAGATCGATCAAGAACACAGAACCAGCTCTGAGCCACGAGTGCACGCCACTCAACCACACTTACCACAACACGAGGGCAGGAGGAGTCCAGACCCAGGACAGAGAGTTTACAAAGAATCGGGCACTCACCACACAGAAACCTCTAGAAAGGAGTCTATGAAGGGCAATAACCCAGAAAGTACTGGTGGTGTGGAGGGTTAGGGTCAGTGGTTCAACCCCACCAGCCAGTCCATGAGAGAAAGATTGAGGCTATCTGTTCCCTACAGAGCTCTACTCTGCACTCGCTGCTCTGAGTTGGACTGATCAATCCATGGCATGGGTTGGGTTAGGGTTGGGTTTAAAATGGAGCTTACTGGGATGTGGGGAGTGGGGTGAGGGGAGGGAGGGGAATGTGGAGCACAGGGTAGGGAATAAACACAGGTTAGTTTGGATGGGGGGCAATATACAAGAAGGGGTGGGCAAAGGAAGAACAAAGCAGAAGGGAAAACAAATAGGCAGGTTTGCATGGGCTAAGTGGGACAGAGGGGTAAATGATGTATGCACAACCTTGGAACAACAGGGCTCTGGGATACAGGAATTGAGACATGGTCGAAATGGGGAAAAGGGGGGAAATAATGTTAGCATGCTTGGCTGTCTTTTGAATCTTTGGTTTCCCTGGCATACCATTACAAAGGGGAGAGAAAGGAATAGCCAGAAACATCACCATAGAAAGCTTGTTAAGTCTGTCTTCTGCCTATAACTGATTGGAATCTCTAAAATGGGGGTTACTACGTGCCCAGTAAAGGAGGCTTCCTGTGGAGCCTCTGCAATACATAAGGCCATAGGTGGAATCCTGAACAGCATCCAGAATCTTCAGAGGTGGGAAATTTCCACTTGAAAGGACAGGCAGACCGGCCTGGAGCGGCTAGAACAGAGGATACTTACTGAAAGAAAGACTGACAAGAAAAATACAAAACAGTAACAGCAGACCGACAGATGGATTACTCTAAGAACAAGCAAGTTGCTTGCCCAGGAGACATCAAGGCAAGTGGTCGGCTCCCCTCAGAGCAAACCCCCTTCTAACACTAAGACTCAACGGGAATACACGCTCTGATAGTTGACCATGTTTGTCACTGATAGGGGAAGTGAGGGAAAAACAGCAATGAAGCAGTGAGCTAAGCCCTACAATGTTCAATAGACTCCTGGGAACCCGGGTGGAGACCTGGTTGGCCAGCAGTATGGCGAGACCTGGGGACTCTTGGGCCCAGAGTTAGTGACATGACCACAGAGGACTAGAGTGGAGAGTGAAACATCTAGCTAATAAGAAGAGAGGGCATATGCACAAGAACACCCACACTTGCAGATAGTACCCACTTAACCTGGCTTCAATGACTGGATGATCAGAGCTCAACTAGAAGAAGAAAGAAGAGGGAAAAAGAGTAAGCTGATACAATTTGGTGAACTTGACCTATACCTATGGATGCAGCTGCTCAAAAGAGGGAACAAATCCTTACAGCAAGGATCATTCCCACCCCCCCTCCAACAGAGTAGACAGGGATGGGCAACTTGTACACTGGCTACAAAGGCAAGAAGTGACTGGCTTACAAGCTTTCAAGAGGGAACCTAGATCCAGAGGGCATGGAGCAAGGTAGAATCTCCACTGAGTAGTATCCAATCTGCCTAGGCAGGGCTGATGAAAGGAAATGCGGATAGGTCTCTTGGGATACAATAGTGAATAATTGTTATCAGAACTGATTGTGAGGGTTGGAAATGTAAAGGTAGACGTTTTGTAGCAAGGAGGAGAGTGATTAACTTTTCAGTCTAGGAGTAGAGGTTCCTAGGACCATCAAGGGAGAAGAGCAGAGAGCGGGACCCTACCCAGAAAAGCAGTGATGCCTGAGATGGAGGCAGAGATGATGACATGGAGAGATGGAGCGGCTGGGGACTCCAGACCCACAGAGGGAGAAGGGCTGTGTGCTGACAACCCTGTGGTTGGTTGATGATGCATGGAGGGGATTGTAACCATGGCAATGAAATGATATTCATAGGATGAATGTAAAACTAATGTTCTCCCATGTAAACCATCACATGATTCACAATAAAACATTTAAAAAAAAAAAGCGGCCCAGGTAGCACAAAAGGCCCCACATTGGGCTGCTACCTGCAAGGTCAGCTGTGGGAGTCCCCCAGGTGCTCCATGGGAGAAAGATGAGGGTTCTGTTCCTGTAATGGTTTACAGGAGTCCTGGGGTGGCACTGTGCGTGAATGTACTGGACTGCAAGGGCGGTTTGAACCACAAGGTCAGTGATTCAAGCTCACCAGTCACTCCTAGGAAACCCTGCGCAGGGTTGCTATGGGTCAGAAGTGACTCAATGGTACTTAACAGCAGGAAGAGCGCCGATTTACAGCCTCCGAAAGTCTTTACAGGGTCTGTATGAGTCAGATACGCTCAGCAGTGCACATCCACCTCCACCACCGCTCCATCTTACAAGACCTTTTGGCTAAACAACGTTTGCCTTCCCAGGGGGCATGTAAGGCAAAGCTGAAGCCCAAGACTGAAGTGTGTCAACCCAAAACCCACAGAGGTAGAGAACAGTGGCATTGCCTAGAGGGTCTCAGAAAAGTTGTTCTGGGATATTCTGGCTCCATTGGCACCTTGTCGTCCTCCCATTTGTAATGGCAATGTCTACTTGGTGCTCTGTCCTCCATTGCATTGGGAAACAGGTTATTTGCTTTTTTACTATGCAGGTTCACAGATGAAGAGAAATTTTACCGCAGGAGATTTTGGACTCAGAAGTGATTTAATAATTTATAGATGTTATGATGTGGTGAATGTGATTTTCATGTGACAAATACCTGAATTGTGGGGGGTGGGAGCGGAGTGGGGGGTGTTATGGATTGGACTGCGTGCCCCTTAAATGTGTCTCGAATTGGCTACACCATGATTCTATTATAGGATTATCCTTCCCAAAAAAAAAAGAGAGAGAAAAGGAGCTTACAACAGGCAGTATCCCAGCAAATACCGGTACATTCCAACAGCCTCTCCTCCCTTCATTAAACCACAGGGTCTGCGGGGCTACCATCTTGCCTACTGAGGCAAAGCTTAAGCAGCAGTATGATGCCGCAGAATTCCATTCTAATAATTTACAAAGTCAAGACTCTTGGCCCTTAATGTATACGTTATCAATGTTATGAATTTAAACACATTTACCGGCACGTGCAAAGGTCTAGATGACAAGAAAAAAATCCCACAGTTCAGCCAACACAGTGGGGCCATACTCAGTGTGAGGAAGAGCCCCTGGCTGCAGGTACCTGGTTAACTCACCTGAGCTCCCTGCCTTCACTGCTCCGCCGGCCTATGGAGGTGCGCTGCACAGCCGTCTCCAAGAGCAGCTTCTGGGTAAGTCTGCTGGAGGGGGCGGTGCCCCTGCCATCCTCATCCTCCTCATCCTGGCCGCATGTCCACTCCTCATCCTCATTCAAGGTAGGGAGATACCCAGACACGCCCTTCCCTGTCCCCGACCCTGAGCTCTGGTCACTGCAGACCTTGGGGCTCTCGGAGCCTGTCCGTGTGTACTCCAGGTAAATGTCGGACTTGAGGAAGGATGGGTAGGTGTTCCCCTCCATGGTGGACTGGACCTCGGTCTGGGCCTGGTCGAAGGTGGCAGGGTCAATCTGCTGCCGCATGATGCAGTCCTTGATGAAGCTCTTGGTGGCCGGCTTCGTCTGCCGGGACACGATCCCATTGCTATCTAGGATGTACTTCCTATAGATGGCCTTGGCCAGCTTCAGCCTCTTCTCCTCATTCGAGTCACAAGGCTCCAGCTTCCGGAAGCCACTGCAGGCAAACCAGAAGTCCAGCAGGTCAACACAGTCCTCCTGTTTCAGGAAAGTCTTGAACAGGTGTATCCCATCCTGGTCATCCAGCAGAGAGTGCAATGACTCGGCCCACTTCAGGTACGGGGGGGTGGGCGAGGCGCTGCCCTCAGGCTCGTAGCCCAGGTCCAGGTCGGAGCGACGAGGGGTGGCTGTAGACGTCTCCCCTTTGGGCCCAGCACCTTTCCCTGCACAGAAGGCGTGGCTGACCGGCCGTGGGTCAGTGGACACCAGCTCCCCCTCTTCCCCAGGCACTGGGGGTCTGGGCGCATCTTCTGTGAAGCTGGCACCGAGGTCCAGGGGAAAGCCCTGCTCTGGGACATTCATCGTGGGTTCCGTGTGTCAGCACCTCACGTCCCAGGGGTCAGTCTGTCCTGTTGGAATACGAGAGGACAAGGTTTAGGCAAGGTGGGTCCACAAGGTTATAGCAGTGTTCTCAGTTGGAAGTGGCAATGATACTCAAGACGTTTGGCTCAAACATGCAACACAGACAGAGTCCGGGCACAAATTTGTTCCACCACGGGAAAACAATGTCTGGAAACCTTTGGCTATAGGAAAGTGGACCCTCATCCCCACCCCAGGTCCCAGTGTGAGGGAATCCGCCTCTGCTGGATCTGAAGCAGCAGGAAGGGAGGAGACTGAAGAAGAGGGCTTCAGCAATGACCAGCTGCATGAACTGAGGAGTACTCACCTGAGCACACAATGCTCCCGAAGAAGAGGCAGGGCCCCAGCTGCTTCCCCAACAATAACCCCAAAGTTCCGCTTTATCCAGGCTGGCAGCCCGTGTGCTTTCTGTCCAACCACCCTTCACACTCAGCATGACGCACAATGTGTGCCCCATACCGCAAGCTGTTCCTCTAAGTCACAACTCACACTCAGAGGTCACGACTCAGGGGTCACCTCTAATGCATTGACTGAGTGACCGGAGGATGTCCCTAAGAGCACAGCCATGCTGGTGGCCCAGGTGAGGCAGCAGGTGGTATGTCATACACTGTAAGCGACCAGGAAAAACACAATCCAAATCCAGTCACACATCACAACTGAATTCTGCTCACTGAGGGTCAGACTCCTACGGAATCGAGGGCTTTACCAGTGATGTTGCTTTGAGCTGGCACGAAGAGGGAGATGAGACTGTCAAAGACACAAGACTCAGACAGTCTCTCTCCATATGCAGGTCCTCAGGGCCCTGCCACACCCACCATGACCACTCCTGCTGACGTCCATTTCTCCCAACCAGCACTGGACACCAGTTAAGTGGTCCCAGTGACAAGTGTGCTGGGGAACTCAGGCTTCCCAGAGAGCACAAGAGGCAAAGCTAAGCAGAGGAAACGTCAAGGGCCAGCCTAGGGGCAGTCCACACTGGCCAGCCTTGCACCCACCTGCTGCTGAGGGATCAGACATGAGGCACACCACGTGATGTGGGACACACCAGGTGAGGTTTCTGCAGCTTTTCATGAAAAGTGTTAGGCAGGCTACAGAGGTTCACAGGAACACCTGCTCGTTAAGGTCAAGGTGAGCTTCGAAGAAAAATCGCCTGTCCCTCAGCCCCACGTGAGCACCCACCCGACAACAGGCCACGGCCCTGATTTGAAGGGGCTGAGTTAGTGGTAGCAGTCGGGGGACCAACATAAGCTCGTATCAGGCACTGGAACTCACAATTCAGGGGCCCAGAGAAACGCCTGATTCACTGCCATCAAGGGAAGCCAAATATGTCCGCAGTGCCAGATGTGAGCTCTGTCACGTTACACCAACAGCAGCCAGCAGCAGATCTGACTCTTCAATAAAAACTTCAGCTGCTTTTCAAGACGGGAACCAAATCCACCCTAATCACACCACACTGATTTCACAGCCCCAAAGTGACGTTTCCGACCGTTCCATCTATACCTGACCATCCATGGACACAGACTACCAACAGCATCGCTCTCAGGCCCGGATTCAGAGCACACATGTACACACCGCACATCAAACACCATCACTAATCCAGGTCAGAGCCAGATGCCCAGACCCACAGCCTAGAACCGTCAACAAAGCGAGTCTGTAAAAAGGATCTGTAGTCCCTCTTGTCACGGCAACAACTCAAGTAAGCAAGTCACTACACCTGTGTCTAGGTAGGTAGGTAGAGAGCCAGATGACAGCTTTTACTCAAACGTTAACTTTTGATCTTTTACGAGGACAGTGGTAGTAAGAGTGAAACGCTGACATCCTCCCAACGGTCTGTTGGCTAAACTCTTGAAGGATTAGGGTTCGTAAGCACTTGCTGCATCCTCAGCGCTGGGCTCCCAGGAGCTAAGACTTTTGCTGTCTTGGCTGTGCAGCCAGGTTTCGAGGGACAGAGGAGGGCGGCTGAATTCCAAAGGGGTGGGATGGAGGTAGAAATGAGGATCACTAGGTAACAGGGAGCGTAGAAGCCAGGAGAAGCAGGTACTAAGATGAGCTGAAGGCCAGCATCTCTGCCACAGAAAATCAGGGCGAACCCCACATCCCACGGATCCCCTGAAACCTGCCCCTGGTCCACAGCACCCACAGCCAGCTGCAGACTTCCCGAATGACCGCAGGGTGTCCCCGAGAGCATGAAACAGCAGGTGGTCGTCGGACACTTTAAAAGGGACCAGGAAGGCACAGGATAAACCCTGTCCCTCCTCATGCCTTCCCACACAGGACCAAAGGGCTGCTCTTGGGGTACCAGGTCCTTCCCACATCTCAGACACAAGCCTGGAAGACTGGAGCCCCTGCATGTCTCTGACCCCTAGACACGCTCCTGGAGCCCTGAAGGCTTTTGTACCACATACGTATCTGTGCACCCCAATACATGCCCTCACCCCACACACCCACGGAGACCCCCACTCACACCCCTGAAACCCTCTTCATGCCCTAGGGACTCCCCTCCTAAGCTCACATACACCCTGGAACCCCCATACCACTCTTGAACCCAGCTTCAAGCCCTGGGACCCCCAACCAAGCACTGAGAATCCACATACACACCCTGGGACCACCACATGACCTGAGACTCCCCTCACACGACCTTGAACCCCCATGAGTTCCCTGAGACCTCCACACACGCCCTCATCCCCTCGGACCCTCCTCACATCCCCTCACATACCCAAACAAGTCCTGGGACCCCACTCACATCCTTGGAGGTCCCACACACAACCTACAGCCCCCTCACACGTCCTCAGACCCCCCACACTCACCCTTGGACCCCCATACACTCCCTCAGATCCCCATTCAGACTCTCGGACCCCCATTCCCACCCCGGGGTCCTCATACACTCCCTCGCACCCTCTCGCGCCCCGGCCCGCACGCCCCCGAGCCCTCTTCCGGGTCCCGCACCCGCCCGCCGGCCTAGCGCGGCCTACAATGGGGCCTCCCCGCCCGCCGCCCCTCAGGAATGCGCCCGCCCGCACTACTC